GGTAAACCCTTCAATCCTGGACGCTGTTTTCATCGAGACATCCTCTCTCTTCTGCCATGACCTCCGCTTCTCTCTGAGTCTAATCTCTTGCATAACCACAGAGTTTAATCTTTGTCCTTCTTAAGGATCTGGTGGGTTAAAAAAGCCGGTGTTCCCTCTCACCACTTACTCAGTTAAACGGATTAACAGAGTACGGAGCCTCCTTCCCGCCACCCTCCTCCTCCAGCTCAGACCAGGGGTGCAGATTAGGGTTTTTACGCACTGGTCCAGAGTGGATCTGAGGCTTTGGCGGGGGGCTGCGGGGCTCGCAGAGTGAAAGGCTGGTGATGCATGTGGAATGACATTCCAGACGCCCCGGCCTCGTTGTGTAACGGGAGGGGAATGCAAGGCCGCTGAGGGAGGGGAGACGTCAGTCAGTCCACTGAGACAGAGCTTCAGGGTCTCATTTTAAAATGAAATGCTGGCAGCCTGTCTGAAACCAGCTCATGCACATTGTCTGATACTGATACAGCACATATACAAAGGATAGTGATAGGGCTGAGCAATATGGAGAAACATCGAATATCCCAATGTATTTAGACAACTACCTTAACGTAATTTACCTTATCATTACTGTTTTATTATTTACCAACTCAGCCATTATGTCCACATTACTCACGATCTCATTGTTTAAAACGCTACAATATTGATAACACATTACTGCATTGTAGCCTTTAAAACACGAAAAGAGAGCACTATACTATCTGGCTACTAACTTGTTAAACAGCTTGTTTGAAATGATCTATGCAAATAGGAATGGGATAGGACAATATAAGATTTAATTGTGATTAACTTGTGTAAATTAATCAGTTTATTTTTCACTAAAAAGGGATTATCACTAACAACAATGATGCTACCATTTAAGGAGATTTAAGCATTTGGATTATTGGGATGATGTTTTGAACCAACCAATACTTTAGGCCAGGACACTTGTGATATAACATTTTCATATTATACTGTGCCTGCAAAGGAAGTTTAATTGATAGAAAGTAATGTTAATTGAAACACCAATTCAGGCTCTCAAAGAAGACATTCCTGCAAATATATTTTTCTAATGCCGACAGAAAAAATATGATCATGTTACCTTGTTGTATTTGAGTAACAGGTGCTAACCCACCCCATTGCATTATGGTCAAAACCGCCCTTTAAAGGGAGAGTTTCATCACCATTATGGTATGGGAAAGTTGTCTGTGTTTCAGATCAGTCACAATTTGAATATGTTTCCCAGTCATGATTATCACTTGGATGTTTTCAATGTTATTTAAAAGTCAGACACTGATCATTAAGGAAACTCCAATTTGACTTTAAAGTGGCTTTTCGCTGCGGTACAAAAAGTAATTTGGAACATCATATAACATACTTCTTAAAATGCAAACGTAGTCATTTAAAATGTGTGGCTTGTTTCTTCTTTGATGAGGGATTTTAGGGTTTTACTCTCAAGATATGTTACAACGTTATGTATGTATGTACCTTATGTTGTCTGTTGTAGTTGTGATAGCTTCTGCAGGGTAAATTGAAGTGACAACAAAGTTAAGTATTGTGAAGATTTTTCATATATAAAACAACGCAGCACATAAAACAGCATTTTTGTGTAGCGATAATGTTTGCTCAGTGCTGTTCTCTGTTATAAATGAGTTGCATACCTGTTCAGCCATCTGGCACATTTCCTATCTTTGGCTTATCTGGTTTTGTAAGTATGTCAGCCAGCACACACTCTAGTTCTCAGGGGAAAAACGCACAAACTTCATATCAAACTTGTGAACCAGAATTCCTAAGCGCTGAATTATAAATAGCGAGAAAATTGTGCACACACACTTTGGCATCATAAGTAGAGCTAATGAAAATTCAATATTTGCTTTAGGTCAAAAAAGATCCCCATCCAACCAAGCATTTAGTAGAATAATCAAATGTTTATTTTCATATGAAATGTCTGATACCAATTCACCCACACAGCAGATCTACTTGATATTTGTTCAGCACTAATCATAGAGCAGTGGAGTCTTTAATCTCCAAACAAGACACGTTTGTGTTAGAAAAGCCTCCCGCCCCCTCACTCTCCACTTCCATAATCCCTTCTTTAATATCTCACGTTGCCACTGGCATTCACCTCCTTCAAAATGGAGGGTCGGATTAATAATGTCAGGAATGTAATGGAGGGACATGATTGAACATGTCACTTTGGTGTTTGCATTTAGTGGCCTAACGTGTTTGGTGACGCGTAATGGGCTGCCATCACATCATTCACCAAAGCAGAGCGAGCCAAGGGAGGCTCAACGGGATCCAAAGCTGGTACCGACTCCAAATGTCTGTGAAAGCAGATCAAATGCTCTCCATTCTGTGAAGCCGCTGCCCAGCTGACAAATCATCTTCGCAGTTGCAAAATAATTACAACGTTTGTCTTCTTATGAGAGAAAATACTGAGTAAGCTCTGCAAGCTGAAGCTCTGTTTTGGCCCCGTGGTGGGATTCAGGCTTGTGCGTATGTCGGGGATACGAGCAGAGTAAAAAGCATTAAACTGAAACTCAGGCAAAGCAAACAGCAGCCATCAGCATTTACCTCATAACTGCCCGTATGCACTGAGCTCTCTTTGTCCTGTCACTAGACTAGAGTATAGTCTTTGATAGAGTTTATGCTTCTCAGCAGCAATTATCGTGTGGACTCTTCTGACAAACTGTTGTTTAACAGCCATCAGAAAGTTGACAAATTAGTCAAGTAAAAGTGCAGCCCTGGCAGAGAAACAACAGAAAGGCTGACAATAGAGGAAAAAACTCAACAACCCAACAAAGGCTTCACTGTGAAGGGAGGCAGAAAGAGAAAAGCAGAGCAAGCTAAACACCACTTTTTAGAAAATAAAAGGGTCCGCAATGATAATTTTAGCTCTTTGTCAAAGTGGCAGGTGGAGTATCGGCATTTCTTTGCAGTGGGCTGGTGTTAATACCTGTCTGACCACGCAGAACCCCCAACATGTAGCCACAAGCCCGGCCTCCACAGTATTTACACCACGCTGCGCTTGAGGTCTGAACATGTCGGTGTGATTGATGAGAGCTGCCACCTTCACAACCTCCATGCAGGTTGCACTACACTAAAGGTCCTTACACACCACGATGTCGATAGGTGTCTGGCCGTCGATGAGCGTCCTGTCGCCCTACTCAGATTGGTGTGTCCCGCCCAGTCGTGTCTTTTCGGCCGTGCCGACACCTTCCGCCGCCGATTCAACATGTTGAATCGGGAGGCTGTCGGCTAAAGGCCGTCGGCCAAAGAAATGACTCTGATTGGCTGTTCAGCTAGCGAATCAGTGCATGAGAAGCTAAACGAAAGTGAGGGACCCAAACAAACTATCAAGAAGGCAAATCTGAGATTTCATTTAACTCCAGCTCTCGACTCAGGTTCGGGAAAGCCCCGTGAGCTTCTCGATGTACAGTGAAAATGGAACGTACGCTATTTGTTGTTTGTTTATATCACGCAGTCTGTTCTTCTTCTCTCGGTTATCAATGCGTCTTCCAGTTGCCTCTTTTGAATGACGAACACACACTACCGCCACCTGCTGGTAAGGAGAGTTATTGACACTCACGCATGCGCAGTTCGTACGTGCTACTTGGCCGTCGGCTGAAGTCTTTGCGGTGTGTTCCAGTGCGACGGTTGGCCAAGACGCAGAGACGCGAGGCGACACAACAGTCGGGTTCCGTCGGGACGTGTTCTTTGTTGTCAGTTTGGTGTGTCGGCCCCTTAAGACTCACTGCCCACTCCACTGTTAGCACGGAGCACTTTTTAGCCACACAGCAGTGAGGTCTGCTTCTAAAGGCCCAGTTCATGAATACAAACAAAAAGCAAGCAAGTTACTGCAATAGATTATTCTAAAAATGAGGATTACAATGTTGTATTATTATCAAATGCTTATTTACTAAATTAATTGTCTTTTTAAAAGACAACTATAAGCAACTTGTCAGAGCACAACATGACATCCACAAATTGCATTAAATAGTTGCACGCCAAATTAGATAATGTAACAAAACAAGAAAAGGCTAATGAAACAAAGACTTAAAATAATTGATAAATAAAACTCAATATAAATTGAAACAGTTGTTTAATAATTAATCAATTTGTTATTTTCTCAATTACTTGATAAGCTATTTGATGAAAATGAAAAAGTTGTATAATGTTCCCAGAGGCTATTGTTGCATTGCTTGTTCCATTGTATGTGTGATAATGCTTACAGCTGTAAAACACTTTAAATAAATGAAAATGTTTAAGCCTCCAGGCCACTTGCCTCAATGTTCATTTTAAAGATAAATGTCTCACTCACTGCTGGTCACTCTAAATAAAAAAATAAAAAACTCGACAGCTGTCTGTTCCTATTTGAGTCACTTGAGTTTATCTTTTAAAATGATCAGCAAACCACTGAATTATGGGTCATATTCTGAACCAAAGATGGTAAATCTAACAAACAAGGAAGTCCTTGTGTGTGTGCATGGAGAAGGCTGCTGGACAAAGGCTGCGTTCTTCACCAAACCCACACGTTGGATCTCCTCTTGCTCAGACTTTCCATGGCTGCTGCCCTTCTTTGAGACATTTTGGTCTCCGCTGCTTTTAATACTCCCCGGCTTCCCTCTCCTTCATTAGAAGAGATTTGTACTGTAAAAACGGTGACGTCATGAGAGTGGACTTTTCCAGAGGCGAGTGTTTCCCTTCACGTGGGAGTGGTCTCGCTGAAAGGAGGAACTGTCCATTCAATGTGGCTCTGTTCAACATTTTATCCCGAAATCCCTGCTACACATTTAAAATGTCATGCAGAGACTCACCTATAGACGGTAAAGGATCTGTCTGTCCTCTTTAGATTCAAACTCTAAAGAAACATACATTTACTGAGTGTAAGTCATATTGAACTGCTCCGCTCTTAACTGACATTGACGTCTTAATTCATGTTTTTCTAATCATGTTTTTCATTTATTTTTTCCCTTCAGTTTTGGGAAGCGATCAGCAGGCAGCCTGCGACGTGGATGTGAGTGCATCGTCCTGGAACCCTCAGAGATGATTGTGGTGAGTCCCATTATTCACACTTTTAGCACACAAGTGTCAAAAACGCTTAATAGAACAGTCATTTTTATTTGTATCCAGGCTTTTCACACCCAAATGATAATTATCTATCATTGTATAAACCACATCCTAACACCTCTTTCGTATTTTTGAAAGCAAAGTGTTCCTTGCTGCCTTTACAATGTCATCTGGAACTTTATATCCAAAGAAGTACATTGCATTAACCTGTCATCTAAAACCCTTATTCTGGCTTTAATGTAAACCAGCAGTTGCCTCTGATGTTATCACACTGAATAATTATTGATTGTGAATTCCTTCTTGTGTTAAGGATGAGCTGTACCTTTGTGAATCATAGATCCTGTGATGTTCTGTACAAAGTGCCTCTTATTGACATTTCATCGCAGCCTTAAAGCACAGCTGAATTTAACTGCCTTTAATGGAGACCAGCTCCAGCGCTGACCCAGTTTTATGGCGAATCAAAAAGTTGGCTCACATTGGAAGTTGTCTAGAACAAATCATTCCCGTCTCATTCATCTGTTCAGCAGAACAGTCTGAGGCCGGCACATCACGACAGATGCAGCTCTGATGAGGAGTTGGTGCTAAAGGGCAGCGGCACGCTACAGACAAAATCATCTTTGTGCAAATTCAAAACAGCTGCTGTGCTGCGAGAAAATAAATCTAAAGTATACTAACTGTTTATAAGATGACACACTAAGTCAGATGGTGAAACGATTACAAATGCAGGCTAAAAACTGACAGGAGAGCAACTTTAGAGAGTTGAATCTGAACTGGATCAGAGTTTTATTTCAAGACGTTTCCCTTTTTTCCTCAGAAAGCCTTCTTCAGTTATTTTAAATTACTTTTAATGCAGAATACTACTGGTATTTTTCCCTGTGAGGAGATCATGTCACTTGGTATGAAGGATTTTCAAATCCCAGGGACACATAGAACTGAAATTTAAAGATCATTTTCCCCATCAATCAATGCATTGCATATTGTCTCCCCCTTTCAACACTGTCACGTAGATAAGGCACTGGTTGCCTCAAAAAATCTGTACAAAAAAGTTAGAAAATAGAGAAAATGTCCATCCCAATTTGCTAAAGCCTGTTTAGTTCAAACAATATTACATGTCACTTGTTAGACGCTTTTATCCAAAGCAACTTACATACTTAATACTGTGGACAATCCCCACAGAAGCAATTTGGGGTGGAGTGTCTTGCCCAGGGACACAACGACATGCAGTAAGTTTTGAACCTGTTGAACACCAACACACTAACCCACTGCGCCACAGCGTCCCCCAAACAACAGTAAAAACACCTAGAAATATTTAGTTTGAAATCACAGGACAGCTAAAAGCAGCCAATCTTCAGAACAAAGAAGCTACATTCAGATATATGATTATTGATAAAGTATAGCATATTGTTTTTCTTTTGATCAACTAAATGATTAAGCATCTAATTGTTATATCTCCAGGGAAATGCTTGTCCTATCTAACCTTTATACTATTTAAAATCATCCTCTTCCACACTTACAAACTGAATGGTTGAGAATGATCCTCACAAATACACAGTATAAGCAGAATAAATATCATCGATTTGTGAACACTTACAATTATCATAACTTAAACAAATCCGATCCATCTTGAAAGAGGAACATATAGGGATAACATAATGCCTATGTTGTTGCATACAAGGTGTGTTGAGGGGGCAGTGATCAAAGCTGTGCAAATGTTTTGACAACTTAAGCCAGAAAACAACGCAAAATCTGGTACATTAAGCTAATTCGTCGTGACGCCATTCTCATTGCTAACGGACCCTTTTGCCAACGCTAAAGTACTAATGTGGATTCAGTTCTTTCATGTTAAACTACCACCGTAAAATCACACATGCATCTTACTCTCCACAATTTATAGAACACACAAATACTCCGCCTTGCTATCTTTTTTCAAGACATAACGCTTGCTTGATAGTATATAATAACGACACTGCTGCAGCCACAGCACATCCTGTCAATTGCTGTGTGTCTGTAGATGGGGGGGCTTGTGTTAACCTAGCCTGTATCAGACACTGTCAAACCCCTCGGTAATAACACCCTTTGCTCCGCTCGCTGCAGACACTCTCTGGCCTTACCCCTTTTTCTATAATAGGTGCCAGCCCGCCCTGTAATTACTGAGGAGGGTTTCTGCTGGGAAATAGACGCACAGAGAGGAAGATGCTGTTCCAAACACGAGCAAAGAGACGTCAAAAGAAAAATAAGCCAGTCACGTGTCCGTACTGTACACACACACACACACACACACACACACACACACACACACACACACACACACATTGCCCACATTTGCAATTAGACACACAATCACACTTATGCGCTCACTCACACTCGGCTCCCCTGCCGTTGTCATGGCAGCAGTTGGTACGGCAGCGGGAGATTTCGGTGGTGTAATCCCAAAGGCTGAGTGCTGTGAAATGTGAAGCCGCAGCGATTGAGAGCGGGAGGAGGAATGAGTCCAAGAAGAAGGAACAACTTAAATATGTCGTTCCAGCGTGACCCTCAATCCGCCCGGCGACAAAGTGGTCCCATTTATCCCGAAAACACTTTAGAAAACTGTTGAATATAACTTCACTGCCTGTTATGTTGGGGTATCCTAAGCTAGTTTCCACTTAGAACATGTTATTTTTGCCCCTTTTGATTCAATACAAATACAAACATGGATTTTGTCATTTCATTGTGGATACTTTAAGCAGAGGCAGGGAGGAAAGTTGTCTTTTACTCCATCTCTGTTTATCAAAGTATTGTCAATCACTTAAATCCCCATCTCTCCAGATTCCTCCCTCTCTTCCTCCCTCCGTCTCTCTTTTTGCATTGTGAGCACCCTTTGACGTAGGTGTGCATCGAGCAGCCCACACACACTTCTATTTGTACGCAATGAGAGGAGCGGGAGGCAGGGAAGAGGAGGAGGAAGAGGTGGTGGTGGGAGGAATCAGAGATGGAGTATAGGAGGGTGGGGTTTTTCTAGGCTTCTGAGTGTGTGTTTTGAAAGAGGAAGAGCGTGAATGAAAATGAAGACTCTCACTTCCTCACTATCTTCTCCAGGTGGACTATATGGATGAAAATGAGGAGTACTTTCAGCGACAAGCCTCGCACAGACAGTCCCGTCGGCGCTTCCGGAAGATCAACCAGAAAGGGGAGCGGCAGACGATCATCGACACCGTGGATCCGTATCCCACCGGAAAGCCGCCCATAGCCCGGGGGTATCACACGGTGAGTTGCGCTCGTGTTCCCCCCCCCCCTCGCTGCAGAGGACCGCAGTGTGTTGCTCTAGTTCCTGTGTCAATCTCCGCTTCTGAGCCCGCTGTGCTTCAGATGGTAGCAGAATGTGTGTGTTCCCTGTTACAACAACTCTGTGTGTTCTCTGCTGGCCCGAGCTGACCCGTGGTTGTTGTGTTTTGGTGTCTTGTGTCCCGGGGAAAAAAGGCCCCCCTTGTCCCCGTCTGTGTGATGTCGAGCCTGTTTTCCTAATCTTTGCTCTGAGCTGTTTCCCCTGTGGTGTTTAATTGTTGTTTTACCCATCCTATGCACAACTGAAGCTGCTACACCAATGCTGGTAGCTTCCGCTGGCTTCAGTGTGTCGATCTACGCTCCTGTGTTGAATGTGTGAAGTTATTCTGTGCTGTATGTGTGTGTCTTTGATCATGTGTGTTTGTGCTTCTGATGGTTGTCAGCTGTTTTTTCAAGATGTCTTTGGGCTTTGATGTTCAGCGTTTGCACCACAACACATACATGATGACATTACGTTGATATCTTTCAGCAAATTCCAGCTGCAAATAGTTATAGTCCCTTGTATCCAGGTAAACTGTGTCCTGGAGAATCGTTTTCTGAAATGAGTGTTGCCATTTGATGATCATTTAACTAAGAGAAGAGGAAGTACTGTAGTCAAATAGTAGTGATTTGTCATGGAGAGGCTTCCCACCTCGAGATTAGGAAAAATTACAGTACTTGGTGTTGGGGAATAATTTGCCCTGCATGTCCTCCTTCGCCCTCTGACGCAGCTGACCAACCTTGAGCAGCCGCTATCCCCCTTAAGGAGGGGCTGCCCTAGCATATTGTTCATGTTACCAGTTTGTGACCGGGCAACTCTCAGTCAGAGATAGTTATTGTTGTGGGACACTTGGAACACATCCTTCTCGGGGTGTAGATGACCTCGAGCCATAAGCGACAACAAATGTGATTCAGTGTCCTCAGCTGTTTAGTCTATCTATTGAAGAATGTTGATTATTACACTCTGAACTAGTTAAAACCTGGAGCTACAGGAGGGCTCTTCAGAATTGATTGTGGCATCTCAACCGTGTGATCAACTCGTGGCCCGTGACATGTGTCCGGCCGAAGCTCCAAATTAACCGTCAGTGTTTGCCATCAAAGCTCCAGCTCTCCTCGTGTCTCTGAGTCCTGACTCCGATTGCTTCAGAAGTTTCCCCCACACTTGGTGATTTCATTGTTGTCTTTTTTCATAAAAACAACGTAGAAAGTAAAAATGGACGAGGAAGAACAGAGATATGAGACAAAAACAACAATGTGGGAGTCTGATAGTGCCTACTTTTACAAGTCTTACAGCTGTTCTATTCTTATAAGCCCTCATTTACATAACAGTAGAGATGCCTGTAACGGTTCTTATAATACAACAAATCTTCTAATGAAATGCTGTTTCAGTGTTTTAAATGCTGGACAGATGACCAAACTCTTTATTTCTGAGGATAGTGGAAAACTGGAATATGGTTTGTAGTAGTTTTGACTAACTGTGAAAGGATTTGACTCCAGCAGAGGAGGAGTTACCAGGCTCTCTCCTCTTTCCTTTCTTTCCCTGGGAATAGGAAGCAAAACATTTTCATTTTCATTTCATTTAATCGTGTATTTGAACCGGGACAATGCACATTAATGAACATTTTAAACAAAATAATGCTTTCAAATGTAAATGACCCGGATTTGAGCTTTGAGCTAATTTCCATCCGTAGTCCCGTCACATACATACATACATTTAAATGCTGCATTTTAATGATGCATATACCCAGCATGCATTAGTTACACACAGTATTTCCTGCATTCTCCTCATTCCTGACGTTCCCACGGGGGTTTCTGCCACTGTGAAACACTCGCGCTTAAAAAGGGAAAATGCGGCAAGAGTCGTCCTCCCCTCAGCCCCACCCTGATTCCTAAATTTAGCCTCGCTGTGTTTTCGTTTCAAAGGACTGCACTGAACTTTCGCATGGCCCGACGTCTCCTCTCCTCACTGTAGTACCGCTCCTGTGGGAAGGATGGAGGGATGCCATGGCAACCAGCAATCCCAAATGGGCTGTGCTCGAGTGCACTTAGAAGTACAGTAAAGGGAAGGGAGCTAACTTAACAAGAGTGCAGCGCGCCGCTTCCTCTGCTTCTGACAGAGCCACAGAGAAGCTGAATCTGGGCGGATGCTATAAGCTGACATAGCACGCTAATCGCCTGCATTCAGAATGCCAGGCACCGCTCAGTTTTTTCCTCCATCCTACCCCGAGGCGTATTTATGAGGTGAGAAATGCACCGAGGAGAAACTTGGGGATTGAAGGAAGGAGATCTCTCCGGCAGGCAAGGTTTTTATTCAGCTTAGTCACTCCTGTGAAGGGGAAGGCGAGCTACGAAAACACGCCACTTATCATGAGGTTTCAAAGCTCTTTAAATGTGAGAAAGTCTGTGTAACTTAGGGCTGAGATGATTATTTGTATTAATAATCACTTTGTTTTTGATTGTTTGGTCCACAAGTCTGGAACCAGTGATTTGATAACTGACTTTTAATCACTTATCAAATTGTTATTTCATTTCTGCTGGTTAATATAATGCGGCAGACTCGTTATTAAGTTATTTTTTTATCTCAAATAGTGGATTTGACTTTGTTACAGACAAGATGATGCTGGAAGAACATGATACTTTTCTGCAGTGATGGATGACGGTCTTTTATTCCAGTCAAACTATTCACACCCGGGCTCAAAACACTACTATACCAGTACAACTGTATTATAAAATAGTACTATCCAGGAAAATATCTCCAAATGAAATGTACTAATGATGCTTCTGTAAGAGTTATATATTTTTATATTTAATTATAACTGAAGCATAGGTAGCATTTTATTGTTAGTAGCTGTTAAAGTGGTTATAATGATACTGTTGGTGGTGTATTCGGTAACAATGCTGCATATTTGATAAAGTACTTAAGGAGATATGCTTTCACCACTTAACTTTGCTGCATTTGAAGACCTTAATTACTAACATTCAGCGTTTTAATGACGTGATTAGAGCTTTACTGCAGTTATTCCTACCACTAAGTCAAAAGCCATTAAAGAGACATGCTAAATGGTTAGCTGTTTGACGATTATGTTGTTTCAGATGTGATTATTGTTATTGGAAAGTGTAAAACATTTTATTTAACGACTTAGTGCTGCTTCGTGAGTCGATGAGACATGACATACCAATGCCAAGCACTCATCCTCAGTAATGCATCAAACCCTGAAATAGCTTATGCTCTGAGTGGCCTTCATTGTTCGTGAGAGATTGTTCTTTAACGCCAAGGTCGTGGGTTCGATCCCTGTAGAGCGCAGAGTGTGTGTAAACAGCTGTGTGTTCTTGAGCAACACACACAGCATGCTCAGTCATTGTGAGCGGCTCTGGAGTGCCGGCTTAACACCCTAAAATATAAATGTAATTGTAACCCAGCAAGGGAACTCCCACTGCGAGTGCTGACACACACACACACACACACACACACACACACACACACACACACACACACACACACACACACACACACACACACACACACACACACACACACACACACACACCCCGGCCCCTATACTCGCTCTCAGGGTTCAAACTAAATGCAAGTTATTTCTGGAACGTGTACATAATGAGTCTGGTCTTGAGTACTCATGATCTGTTTAATAATTACTAACACTTGAAAGAGAATATCATGTATGTTAGATAAGGAAACAATCAGTCTTGATTAATGTAGCAGCGTTTCATAACAGTTAGTTTAAGTAGAGAGAGGGAGACTGTGGGGCAGTGGTCTAGTGCGTTGGTGTTGGGATCAGGGGATCACAGGTTCAAACCCCACTGCAGTCAGCATGTTGTTGTGTCCCTGAGACACTTCACCCCAAATTGCTCCTGTGGGGATTTTCCACAGTATTGAGTATGTAAGTCGCTTTGGATAAAAGCGTCTAACAAGTAACATGTAAAAGTAGCCTCACCATTAAAGGACATACAGAGAGATTTAAATGATACTAGCTGAGAGGTTAGGGAGGGCAATTTAATTCTAGTTTTCTTTTTTTTTAAGTATACCCTTAGGTCATCTGTCCATTTTGATGAATGAGAGAGAAAATGTTACTTTCATTTCCTTTTTTATTTGTGCTCATGTCAGCTACTTTCTAACAAAGCATGATGTCATTTTCACTATTAATATTGACTAAAATATCCATCCTGTCTATATCATGTAAGGGTGACATCGAAGTGGTTGAGGGATAGTCTAATACAAATGTGGATGTAAGACTTAGCATTCCCATAGAATGCCTTAAAAACAACTCCTAAAGTATTGTAACATATATATTGATGTCACTTTGGCACAGGAAGAGTATACCCCATTTTAATCCTGCACTCAACATTGTTAATTGTCTTTGAGTTGTTTTTGGCATTTGGGTTAACATCAGTCAATGAGCACAACACCCACCCTCTGTCAATCAGTGTTGTCAATGTGATTTAAGTTTATGCACAACTCGGGTCAGAAGTTGTACCTAAGCTTCTGTCTTGTTTGTGCCTCATTACAATAAAGCAGGCCTCTTGTGTCGGAGCGTGCATTAGTGTTCTTCCCAAAGAGCGGAACAGACTGACCGGTGCGATATTTCTGAGGTATAGGATGACAGTTCTTGGCTTCACTTCTTACGCACTTGTCAGATTTATTCTCAGAGTCAAAGACCGCAGCTACCATTAAACATTGAAAGCTTTTGATTTAACGTATAATGTAAGATGTTTTTCTCTTCGATATCACATTAACATAATCCCAATCATCTACATATGCCTTCTCTTGCTCTTCTTCTTGTAAAAAGGGATATATATTGTCACATTTGACTAGAGGGATGTCTCATCTAAAAGCCTGAAAAAGGAACAGAGCTGTCAGTTTGAGCTTAAATTTGTATTTTGTCCCCATTAGAAGCAAAGATGTACATTATTTAAAGGATTACGAC